CACCCCCATTTCTGATCGCCTTCGCCGCCGGTCGTCGTCCTCGCTCTCGCTCTCGCCGTCGTCGTCGCCGGAGTTGACCTCAAATTAGGGCATCGACAAATTGAAGGTAAATTCATCTAAATTTTTTCCCTTTATTTCTTCTATATTCTCACTATTTCGTGGTGATCTCATGTAAAAAATTAGATTTTAAAAATTAATTGTGGATTGTTTATGATTTTTGTGAAGAAAATTTAAATAATTTTGTGGATTTAGAGGGGGAATTGTCAAAAATGTAAAAAATAGTGTTACTACATATTTAGGAACATCGATATATGAATTTGGGTAAAATTATAGTTTTTAAAATTGATATATGATTTAATGGTAAGTAACAATTAAGTTCTAAGGTTTTTTTTGTGTAATATTGATCTTGAATGTTTTAGGAACATCGATATATGATTTTTGTATATTCTCAAATTGAAGGTAAATTTATCTAATTTTTTTTCTTTATTTCTTGTATATTCTCAAAATGTTTTAGAAATTGTATGGATGACGGTCGTGAAGGAGTTAGGAGGAGAAATAAGTATAGTAGATGCGATCAACCGGGCCATAACAAAAATAATTGTCTAGCTAGGATTAGGCGTCGATGTTGTAATTTGTAGCGGTTTTGTTCTGTGTTTGTTTCCATATGTCATTTGTGATTGTAATTTGTAGCGGTTTTGTTCTGTATTTGTTTCCGTATGTTATTTGTGATTGTAATTTGTAGCGGTTTCGTTCTGTGTTTGTTTCCGTATGTCATTTGTGATTGTAATTTGTAGCATTTCGTACTATGTTATATAAATTTAATGTTTGGTTTCAAGTTATTGTTTTCTTCACGTTGCGCATTCGTTTGTTGTTTATATATAACTAAGTCAGTATTTTAACAGAAAGATCTAACACATTGTACATTGTCTTCTAATATTATTCTCAGTTGTATTCATTATGGATCTGGGACCGATACACCCTGACGTTTTGACCCTCCAAGCGAGCCACGTTTCAGACCATATTGGCTCAGGACAGGTAAATCATCTTTTGTATATATTCCTTAGCATTGACACTAATTTTAATTTTTCTCAATATACTTAATCAATTCTTTTTTACGTGCAGCCCGTACCAGACATCACCATGATCAAGCATTCCCAGAGTCATTCGGCTTAGGTCATTGAGGATGCGAGAGTACTAGAGCTGATCGCTCAGGCCGGTTTCCGGGAGTGTTCGACGGTTTGATATATTAGGCTTGATTGGCCGCTTATCACTGCACTGATTGAGAAGTGGAGGCCAAAGACCAATACCTTTCACTTGCATATAAGGGAGTGCACCATCACCTTACAGGACATGACTGTCATACTTGGGCTCCGGATCGATGGACCGGCAGTTACGGGCACCGATAATCATAGTTGGCCTAAGGTATGTGTTAAGCTTCTTGACCAGGTTCCTGACTTGAGGAATGGTGCGATGAAGCTATCGTGGCTTCATCAGACATTTTAAGGCGACATACCAGAGGATGCCAGTATGGAGACGCTTCTGTTTTATGCTCGTGCGTACTATTGTACATGATAGGGTGTGTGCTTTTTTCCTGATGCGAGCAAGACTCTTGTACATGCACGATGGTTGTCACTGCTGGAGGATTTTGACGTATGCGGCATACTATATGGGGCAGTACGGTGTTGACATACTTGTATCGAGAACTGGGTAGAGTATCCCTGATGCAGAATAAAGAATTTAAGGGATGCTGCACATTGATACAGATTTGGTCATGGGAGTGCATTCATATTGGACGCCCTACTTTACTTATGCACCGTGACCTACAGGGGCAGTTTCCTTTAGCATACATGTATAATTGTACACACAAATTTTATTCGTACTGAATTTGTACTTATATATTCTCTATTCTGCATATAGGTATAATATGCGGTACGCTAAGTACCGATCAGTGATGCGCCATCATGAGTTTTACCGAAATAAGCTTGATGGCCTCCAACACGAACAGATAAATATAAATCTCAAGTCGTTATGAATATTATAGTTTTGTTGTTGATACTGATAAATTTTTTATTTTATTTCAGTTCAAGTGGAGACCCTATACACTGCCGGAGCTCGATATGCATTCTCTTGCACCCATCTGTCGAGATACTCCTAACTTGTGGAGAGCCAGAGTTCCATTGATTTGTTGGGAGACCGTGGAGATGCATGTCTCTGACCGTGTGCTACGACAGTTTACGCTCTCTCAGCATGTGCCAGATCCTGTCGAGCAGATTGATCGTCGGTGGCGACCTACTTCACACCGTACCGACTGGGCCGTAGTCCGTGCGGCTTACATAGACAGGTGGGGTTTCATCTAGGATACGAGGCCCACAACTGTTGACTATACCGTGTATATGCATTGGTATTAGGGTATCACACGTAGATGGATCACACGTGACCCACAGCCATCAGCTGGACACATGCCACGCCCACCGACAGATAGTTACATTCCTAGTGGGATGAACGAGAGAGATTACGTAAGTTTCTAAGCTAAATTATAACATCTTTTATTGAGTTGGTACTTAATAAATTATTTACCTCACAGGTCTGTGCTTTTGATAGCATTGAGGCTGATATTGATGCGCACGTGACTGAGATTCAGGATTTGGTGGCGTTAGGACTCCTCAGCAGGATCAAGAAGAGCATAGCGCAGGTGTTTCATAAGACTCATGTCGACGAGTTCGCAGGCCGTGAGGACAGGTCTCGATCATTTAGGCAGGCGTACACTCGGCGCCGATGGCCACGTGGCGATGACGCCGGCACTTCACATGCTGATGGAGCCGGTACTTCGCATGTTGATAGAACAGACACTTACAAAAATTGTATTTAAATACAGACTTACTGTAGCGGAAATAAAAAATGGAGGACGTGCTTTGCACGGGGTGCACACTAGTTTCATGATAGTTCACAAAGTTGAAATTGTTGATATGTCCCTCAAATCATAAGGGTACTTACAAACTGGAACTCAAGTTATATCCCTCATTTATGTTTAACCACATGTTCTGACTTTCCCAATGGTCTTCTCTAGAAGCAATCACGATTTGCATATTCGACTGAAGGGGTAATTGTTATCTTGACTCGGTCTTGTGTGACCAAATCAACGTTTCTCAATTGAGGAAAACGTGATAAATTGGGTTGTTGAGAGAAAATCTCTCAGAGGTAGTTTTGAGGGGGGTGGAGATGATGGGTTTGACCTTTATAAAAGGTGGAGCATTCTCCTTAAGAAAATGCATCAGAAAAGAAACAAATCACCTACTTGTTACCAGAGCCTCCTCAAAGAAATTCATCGTTCTTTCTCTTTTTCTTTGCTCACGATCACTGGTATCAGAGCCTATTTTTCCTTCTTCTCCGTTCCGCACCACCTTCTCTGCTATTTGAGGCACTTTCTCTGCTTTTTTTTCAAGCTTTGAAGTGAAGCCTACAACCAATTTACCTACCCCGTGACCCACTCCTATCAAAACCATGTCTAAAAGTCATAGCTAGCTGGCCATGACAACCTAGACCTATTCACAGCTGGTCATAGACTTGTTCATAGCCATCTAAACATGTTCATAGCCGACCATGACAACCTAGAATTGTTCATAGCCGGCCATAGACCTATTCATATAGGTATAATGTGCGGTACGCTAAGTAGCGATCAGCGACGCGCCATCGTGAGTTTTACCGAAATGAGCTTGATGGTCTCCAACACGAACAGGTAAATATAAATCTCAAGTCGTTATGAATATTATAGTTTTGTTGTTGATACTGATAAATGTTTTATTTTATTTCAGTTCAAGTGGAGACCCTATACACTGCCGGAGCTCGATATGCATTCTCTTGCACCCATCTGTCGAGATACTCCTAACTTGTGGAGAGCCAGAGTTCCAT